CACCAAACCTAATCCGGATGTTTGCTACCCTCCTACTTCCCTATTCTCTAATCCCAGTGGAAGCTGGTAGACGCTGTCAGACGCTAGATCGATACCTTGCTTCCCTAAGCCCTCGAGACGCTGACAGACGCTGGTAGACGCTGGCAGACGCTAGATCGATATCCATACTTTCCTAGTCGCTGACGCTGCCGGACGCTCGGGACGCTAGTGGACGCTGGTAGACGCTGGTGGACGCTGCCGCAAACTATGAACGCAGCCTAACGGTGCGAAAGCGGAAAGTTCATGGATGCATTGGTCATGATTTTGAAGAATTGTTGTGAGCAGTTCCACTTTCGTTGTGCATAAAAAACGCATAAAAAAATTGGTTTTTTAGAACTGTCACAATATATAGTATATGACCTTCATAAAACACAACAGCAGTTAACAGAAGATTTTCGCGAATTTTTCAGTCGTGATTGTGAGCTCGTCAAACTAGGCTTTTGTATAGAAATGAGGTCCATATTTCAGCATGATTAAATATTTTTCATAGAAAGAGAGGAGAACAAACGCTGATGTATAGATGATGTCCGGCACCCATACGCTGGTTTCAGCGATCTTGATCCATTCTCGGCTGTACTCAGTAGTGTTTCGATTCCAGGACAATTTCGGATCTATCCATGTCTTCAAATTGAGAACATCAGTGATATAAACACTTATGGCTGCGTTCATACTTTGCGGCAGCGTCCATCAGCGTCTACCAGCATCCACCCGCGCCACTAGCGTCCCGAGCGTCCGGCAGCATCAGCGACTAGGACATACATACGATCAAGACGCTGGTGGATGGTGGCAGACGCTTTTGGACGGTCTGCTGCCAGCGTCTCGAAGGCTAGGGAATTATAGGTATCGATCTAGCGTCTGCCAACGTCCACCAGCGTTCACCAGCGACAGGAGAGAGAATGGGGATGTAGGAGAGTAGCAAACAGCTATTATAGATTAGGCGTCGTGATATCGTCCGTCGTCGTAAAAAAAAATTAAAATGAAATCGGCGTCGTGAAACGAAATTGTGTGCAATCGCACGCACAAACTGTGAAGCCGTCCCAGGATACTTCTCAGCCGTCTCCCCTTCCTCCTTTTTTCTCCCTCCTCCTTATTTTCTTCCCCCTTCCTCTGCTGGGCCAGTATATGCATGAAGAAAATTCTGCGACTTCGCAGCCGAGAGCATGTTGGTTGTGACAAGTGTCCTGTAACCCTAATCCAGCAGTTTGCTACCCTCTTACTTCCCCATGCTCTATACTCCCGGTCGCTGGTGAACGCTGGTAGACACTGGCAGACGCTAGATCGATACCTATACATTCCTAGTCGCTGGCGCTGCCGGACGCTTCGAAACGCCAGTGGTCGCTGATGGATGCTGGCAGATGGTGGTGGACGCTGCCGCAAAGTAAGATCACAGCCTATGAGACGCAATAGAAAAGAGCACGCTAAAAGAAAAACAGGAGAGAAATCTTGTTTCTCAAAGCGAGAAAACCCTTAGCTTATTCACAAGTTCTGTTTCAAAGAAAATCGAGCGATAACTCACCAGCAGGAGCTCCTCAGAGAACCTGATCCACTCCTGCTGCTGATCCTGAATAACGAAAGATTGAGCTGCTGTTCGCAGACCTTCAACTCAACACGTAAGAGCGGAGCTCGCTCGATAATCTCCTACCATAGCCAGAAGGATGAGTTTGTTGGGAATGATGGTGACTATGGTGGGTGTATCATTTGAACCAGGACGAACAGCCGTTTCGTATGTATCCGGCAGTAGATCATTCAGGAGCTTTCTGGCTGGCGTTAGATGAATTGCTTCAATGGAATCATTAGTTTTAACTGCATACTGTACCAATGAAGCTGTTTCTAATAATATATTAGTATGCTTAGCGGAAAAGGCTGCCCCGGCTGCGTTGCAATCACGTCCGATCGCAAGCATTCTTGTTCGTAGGGATAGAAGTTATACACTGCATTTCATAAATAAAGGGTATCCTAAATTTTTGCTACTGCAAACTTCTTAAGCATTTTAGAAAGTACTGCCCTCATCAATAAGGTACAACGTACCAGTGAGGTAACGTTCACTATGGACCTGACATTCTCACCAGATCGACGCTCTCACGATCAGTGGCCTGAACGTGGCTCACGATTCAATAAGTCCCTCAACAACCTCAAACACGTTTTTCTGATCTATCCTCAACTGACGCAGATTCATCCTGTAGAAGCAGCTTTTTGTTATTTCGCGATTATCAGCCTACTTATACTCTAGTTCGCTGCGGACGGTTGGGCGTGTCAGGCAGTATGAGTGTGTCAAAGCCGTTCTCTGCCTTCTTGTTGAAGCGCGCATGCGACAAAAAGTGGTAGAAAACGAGTAATACGAACGATATGATACAGTCATATCACTTGCTCGCTTTAAAGGCAGTTGGCACGATAAATCTCTAAGAAGAGTAGGACTGATACCGCCTGGCAGGACAGGATTCCGCGACCCTAAGCAGGTGCTGCGTAGCGCCTTTTCTGAGGGAGGCACCCTTAGAAGGGCCATATCGAGCTACAACATTACGACCCGAGCGCCCACCACGCCCGCCCGCCCACAAATGGACGACCGTACCTGACGCTCGTATTGCTTTATTTGCTAAGTAAAATATGAAGCGAAGGGATTGGTATGAAGCGGTGCGCATGGATGTATGAATACATACGTGCAGCCGTAACTACCGTAGCGGTTGGCAAAATGTTCACGGAAAACTCGTCCGAAATTGTCATTAAGGGCGAAAGGTTTTTTTCTTCGCAGGTTTTTGACCGTTTCACTTAGTTTTTTTCGCCATTTTCCCACTTATGGACGCCCTGCTAGCATTTTAGGCCAATTAACAAAATATCGTGCCAACCGCTCTAGCTGGTGGAGACGGGTTTTGGCACTACTTCATGCGCCAAACCTCATCCCGCGGACGAGACCAAGACGACAGGTTCTGCAGCAAACTGCACCTAGACCATGAGATCACGACACTGTAGCAGCCGTTTTCACTTTCCACTTTATGATTCTTTAAATCGCGCTTGGTCACTAGTTCTCGAAAAAAAAAGTCAAAAAGAGTTTGGAACCGCATTCTCAATCGTGAACGAGTGTATTATTAGTGGAATTTTCAACATTTTGTCAATAATTCATAAGAAATTATTCGTCTCGACACGCACCATAACAAGACCGCTAAGTAAGAGAGAAGCTGCGAGAACATTCGAACGAGATGAGGGACTAGAAACATCGGAACCGATCGCGCTGGTTAGAGTTGGGTTACATATTCACGAGTCACCGCGATATCTAGCTCATTTGAGATGCGCTATGTTTCACAGCTTCTCTGAATGAAATTCGATCCGACGGTGAGTGACGAATTTTTCATTGTAGTCTTTTGCCTTGCGGTAGAAATTACTAAGAAACAGTCTCGAATGTCAATGATGCTATCGAAGACATGCTTGCGGTTGCAAAAACATGGTGCGAAAGTACTGAGTGTTTCGATTCGAGAGACGACTGCTCAACTTTACTTGTTGAAGCTCTTGCACACAGCTAATTATGTGGCAACCATTTTCCACTTTAAATCGGACATGGTCGGACACTTTTCAAACCAAATCGGACACTTTTCAAACCAAATCGGACACTTTTCAAATCAAATCGGACACACCCCTTACAATTAGGTGGTTGATAACTAGACCACACTAGGTACTGTTGCAAGCCTCCGCCCCATTATCCCCGCCCATTTCTCAGCGCGGACAGGGTTTTCCGAGATGCTTCATGAAATCTGCTCCCTCGACTTTCATTCGTTTTTGCCCAAAAGAATGATACCTATACAGATCTGACTCCGCCCACTTAACAATGGGAAGTTACGTTAAGTTTGAATTTTTTACAACTTTTTTTCGACGTAGTCTCTTCTTCATATCACTCTTTACAAAAGCGAATAACACATTACAGCACGACAGGCCCCGCCCTGCTGACCCCGCCCTTGTGTTTATCGCGTGCCATTTTGGTTTTCTCGCCGATTTATTGCTTTTTTAGTTAGCGATTGGCTCCGCCCACCAATGGGAAGCTCCGCCCACTTTGGGGAAGCCCCGCCCACTTTTCGAAAATGATGCAAATCGGCGGGCTAGTGTCCGTACTGGCGGATTACGGCCTCTCCCGGCACATAGAATAAAAAAAAGGGAAAAACCGGAAAAAAGGGAAACTTTTATTGCCTGAGTGCGGGAGAGGCCGTAACCGCCAGGTCGGACACGTAGCGCGAGCCGATTATCATCATTTTCGAAAGTGGGCAGGGCTTTCATCAAAGTGGCGAGCTTCCATTGGTGGGCGGAGCCAATCGCTAAAGCTAAAAAAGCGAAAATCCGGAAGAAAACCAAAATTCCGCGATAAACACAAGTGGGCGGGGTCAGAGGGGCGGGGCCTGGTGTGCTGTGCATGGTTATTCGTTTTGTGAAGATTGGATGTGAAAAGAACTACGTCGAAAAAAGTTATAAAAATTCAGAACTTACGTAACTTCATTGTTAAGTGGGCGGAGTCAGATCTGATAGGTATCAATCTTTTTCAGTTGAAGTGTGTGTGTGTGCAAAGGGCAAAAACGAAAAAAAATCGAGGGAGGCAGATTCCCGCATGAAGCATTTCGTGTAAACGCTGTCGCCGCGCTGACAAGTGGGGCGAGAATAATGGGCGGGGCTTTGGCTGACAGTACGTAGTGTGGTCTTGTGTTTGATTTGATTTGAAAAGTGCCCGACTTGGTTTGAAAAGTGTCCGATTTAAAGTGAGAATGGATATATTACCTCGGCAAATGAGAAGGCGCCTGAGGGGGCGTGGATTGGAGAGCAACCAGGGCGGTCTTCTCACCAATCGAAACCATCCTGCCCGTAACAATTGGCCCCAAAAGCTGCCCTGGCTGCGCCAGTCCATGCCTCTTCGAATGCCATATACCTCTCGCTCGTCTATAGCATATCTTGTGCATAGCATCACCAGCCGTATTTCAAGTAGCCGACAGTAAGTTGAGACCCCTCATTGGACAGAGGGGATTCCCACCGAGTACCGTCTTCTTTGAAAGCAATGGATGCCTTGGCTAGGAGGCGTGGCAGCAGTCCAAGCGCAAATGGTGGGAGGGCGTTGGACAACAGCTATCAGCGCGCTAGGGCAGTGACCAAATATCTTTTCTCGAATGGAAGGTTTCTGGAAGTGAGGTTCATAACGTTAAACGAACGAAAGTGAGAGCCTGGAAAATTCGGAAAAAATACTGGTTGCCAACGAAACTGATAGGTGTTCCTGCAACGAAACCTTCGTTTTGTTGACTGCAAGACAGAAAAAAGGGATGGAAAAGATGTGCCAAATATATTAAAACTTTTTAAGAAAGAGAAACAACCTGGGAAGAAGGAGAGGTGAAGGTAAAGTCAAAGTTGGTGGAAAGGGCGTGATAAAGGGATTAAGGGGAAGACAATAAATCAAAAAAAATATAATAAAATAAAATAGAAGTAATTTAGCTGAAACAATAGAGAGATATGCAAGGGAATGAGGAATTTGAAGACAAAATAAGCTAGAGTTCAGAGAGAACAAGTAAAGGGAGAGAGGAAACAGGTGAGGAGCAAAGCAAGAGATAAATGTGGTGAGAGAAAGAAGGTGAAGATAGCGAAGCAAGAGCAGTTCCAATGATAGATTTAGGCATGTACTCGTGGAGGGGGGCAATACAGTCAAATCGGAGAGAGCTAGAAAGCGGTATTCTACTATTAGACTAGTACGTTTCCTCTGTGAGGTTTGTCGAAAGGAGTACAGTCTACTAGTCTAGACTAGGTGAGTCAAATTACACATACCAGTGTGACTAACGAAGGTCTCAGGCACAGAAACTTACGGTGTAACGACTCGCAAATCTACGGAAGGGACACCATTGGCTTGTGAATTATGCCCACAGGGTACAGCATCGTGACGTGTGAAATGGTGGTGTGGGTAAGCACCCC